AGTGTATTTTGTCATTAAACCTTTGTTGAAATTAAACTCTTTAATACAAAAAGGTGACTCATCCTTTGTGTTGCGCGATCCTCTCTCTCGCAGCGCGTTTGTGAACAACTGAACAAGACAATATTGAAATATTTTAAAATAAAATATTAATTAATATTTGTCATATTTACATTTGTTGTTTCTTTTTCCTTACACGTAGACGCAGGCTCATTAGGCTGAATATGGTCTTTTTGAATTTTTTCTTGCAAGCTATTAGAAGGAATATTTTCATCAGTAACATCACAGACTGGAGTGTTTAGAACGTACTGGGATGAATTATTTTCCTCAAAGTTTGACATAATAATAGTTTTAATCTGATCTTCATCAAAAGATAGAGTTTGTGCAATATTATTTGTATCTAAAGATGTTAGGTTTTGTGCAATAGGTTCAACATTATCATTTAAAGATAGAATTTGTGGAAGTAAAGTAACCTAAAAAGAATTAAAATAAAAAGAGTAGATATAACATATTATGTTTATCTTTCTGATAAAAAATATAAGCTTATCAATACAATCTGACATAATCAAGCAACATTACAAATGTTTGTATCATTTTAAATGCAAAATTACATGAATTAATAAAGATAAAGAAACAAAATCATATATACATATAAATAAAATATATAAATAATTGTATTTATAAAAATTTATATTATATATATCTTAAATAATTTTAATGTAAATATATTTTTAATATTTAAATGCAAATATACACAAATGCAAATTCACAAATCAATTGACAAATAATGAATAAACATTTTAAATATATTTCAAAATTAGACAAAATCGACTACTTCTTGCATTGTCATTATATCATTTGGAAATAATATTAATATTTGTGTACTTACATCAAGTGTAATAATCTTATGAGCTTTTAGTTTTTAAAAATTTTATTCTAGGTCCTGTTTTGGGTAAAAGTGACATTAAATCTTTTGCTTCTAAGCAAATTAGCGCATCATATAGTCGATTTCCTGTTCTAAAAAAATTTCACATATATCACAGATAATATAATAATAACAATAATATACAAAAATTACAAAGAAATATAAGTAGAAATCCAAATTAATTATATCACTAACCTTTAAAAACGTCGATATATCGATATATTTTAAAAAAACTAAGATTAAGTATGTGAGTTCGACGCACGTGCTTTATTCTTTGTTTCGTGTCGTGCGCGCTTATTCTCTAAGGAATAATTTTGTGTTGTAGGTGCTTAAGAATAATTCTCGTTAAAAATAATTTTGTGTCGTGCGTGTTTATCCTGTTAAGATAAATGGCGGATGAAAAAACTTTATCTGTTCTACGTGAGTGGAATTTCGACAAATATATATATTTATATTTGTCGAAATAATATATATATTTGTCGAAATTCCACTCACGTAGAACAGATAAAGTTTTTTCATCCGCCATTTATCTTAACAGGATAAACACGCACGACACAAAATTATTTTTAACGAGAATTATTCTTAAGCACCTACAACACAAAATTATTCCTTAGAGAATAAGCGCGCACGACACAAAACAAAGAATAAAGCATGTGCGTCGAACTCACATACTTAATCTTAATATGCATCTAATAATTTTACCGGTCCGCTCAGGTCTACATGCCATCCGCGTATGCGCAGAAGATGCCGCACACAAGCTACGACCATGTACATATGCGCACACATACGCATCACTGATGCAGAGCGCTGCGATTAATGTTATTGTAACCCGAAGTAAATTTATTATAACCAGAAGTTTTATAGATCCAACAGGAAATATTCAATCAGATCCTTATAGTAAAGTCTACCAAACGGTATAGTTATACAGTTTCAAGTTCTGTTACGATAACCAAAAATTCTGCTTTATTTAACAAAAAAGCGCTCTATCAGAACAATTTTGTTAATATAAACGAAACCTTTTTCTCAGTGCACGCTTGTGCATAAATTTGATGATCGTAGAATATCTTCCGAACAAATATCCGACCAACTGCTAGAAGAAAAAGTTGCTTCAGTTTTCAACTCTTCTAGTACAGTATAGCTGCAGCAATGACCGTATTTCTTTAAAATGTTGACTATTTTTGCTGTTTGTCAATCTTTTTAATGTCATACCCAGAGAAATATGTTTTAAAGGTTTAATTCAATCATTTAAAACAGCATATATGACATCTTGGGCAAATGAATTAGCTATTCTGTGGCACTGACTACTACGTTTATGTCGATAATTTGTATACTAGCTAATAATGTAGATTAAAATTTCATGAGCATATTTGGTACAGAACATTCTCTCTTAATCAAGTCATTAGCAGTCAATTTATTCGGTAATTTAGGTGATTTCATTATACGAATTTCCTTTCTTAAAATAAGTGCTGCTCCTGCAATAATATCTTTTTCCAATTTTATTAAATCATTATCTTGTAATAAAACACCAGTATAGGGTTTTACGAATTTTTTTTTGTTTATTGTTATAATAGCAATTTTTGTTAAACGTATTTAATAGGTTATCTTCTAAATGACGCGTCGGAAAAACTCCAGAAGAAATTCCAAATCTACAAATTTATTCTACAAAATTGTAAAATAGCAATGCTTTTTATCAATGACATTTGTTAATAAAAAAGCATATTTTGTTATAAGCTATGCTATGCATATCACGCTTTTTATGCTAATCTGTTTTTCACACAATGCTGCATGATGTAATTTACATTTACTTTTATACGCTTTTTACAATTATTGTGATAGTAAAGAAATCGCTTTTATAAAAATAAGTTTTCAATTCTTTGAATTAGATCTGTATTATTTAGTAGGATTGCATTAGATTGTATTTTTTCAATAGTTACATCTTTTTCACATATAACTTTTGAAGACGACCTTGATGTATTTTTCGTTCGTAAGTACAAAAAACACATTTGTTTACTTGTGTTCCTAATGCACATATTTCTACTTGTAAAGATCCTTCTTGTGGATCATCGCCTAATTGTGGTAAGATATCGCCAATCTCTTCTATTTCTATATTCTGAACACTGATTTCTCAGCTAAAAATTTTTTTATTTTAGTTAAATGTTAAAACTTGAAGATTTAAGAAACAGAAAAAAGTAAATATCATTACAATATGAAAAAGGGGGAGAGAGATAGAGAGAGAGAGAGAGGAAGAGAGAGAGAGAGAGAGAGAGAGAGAGAGAGAGAGAGAGAGAGAGAGAGAGAGAGAGAGAGAGAGAGAGAGAGAGAGAAATGCGGGAATCGGCTCTCGCCGACATTTGCACCAATCCCTTCGCGCCCCGCGCCATTTGCCATGTGCCGACCCAACCTTATGATCCTGCCCTACTCTACGCTCTATCACTGACTATTGATTTCTCGATTTCCTCGCGCCCCGCTTCAACGCCGTCCTCAGGGTGCGATCCCATAATACGAAAATTGACGTGCAGAACAGAGAATGCGTGAATTGAACAGCCAATTAGCGCTCTTCCATTTTTCTGTACCTTTTCCATATGCGTTTACGTGTATGCGTTGCGTTACTCTAGCTAACCTACAAAGTTAGAATTGAAAGTGTCCTTTGACGGGTTCAGACGTGTTTTGTCTGAAAATTTTTTTTCCTTTGTTCCATTATACAGCAATTTAGAACATCTTGTAACTTCTTTGTTTTAATAGCTTCTTGCAACATTAATAATTTGTTATCCATTTTTAAGCTTTGCTTCAAAATTCTAGACACATCAATAATAATGACGCATAATTTGATGTGCCCTGTACACATGATACGGAAAAAATTACCAAAAATGCGTCATAGGATTCAAAAACAATTTTTGTAATAATATAATTTTAAATTAAATTTATTTAATACTGTCGCAATAATATTTATTTCAACATTTTAAATATTATACTTGAATAAAATTAACAAATATGACTGTTTTGATGAAATACTTATTTTTTTAATTATGTATTTATTTCCGGAAACGCATCATTTTCATGTCTTTCACGCACCGTGTGCACAGGGCACAGAAAAACATGCGGGATAGAAAAATGCGGAAGAGCGCTGATTGGCTGTTCAATTCACGCATTCTCTGTTCCGCACGTCGATTTTCGTATGATGGAATCGCACCCTCACGCTCGCGATGTCACCCCTGGGATCCAGAACATCTGGATATTTAAAGACCATGTCCTTCAATTTTCTGCAGACCATACCACGCCACCCTGAGCCAGGCTACCTGACCCATTTTGTTATAGGGATTCGGCGACAGCTGCTAACGCGTACACCAATACGCCGAGAGAAGAGAGAGAGAGAGAGAGCATGTAAAAATGTTGGAAGAGCCGCGTCAATTTATTTAAAGTTTTATATACATGGTCATGTTTATTTCGATGTAAACAATTTCACAAAATAGAGGACAATAGAGGAAACTTTATTTTCCAAACTTATCAAAACGAGGGGGTAACCACTAGCTAAAATGTTGTCCCACAGATTACATGATTTCATTTGATTTCATGATTTCATCTAATTACAAACGATTTCATCTAATTATAAATGATTTCATCTGATTACAAATGATTTCATCTGATTGCAAATGGATTTTTTCATTACATATGAAATCATTTCATAAAAGTAATGATTTCATCTGATTACACAATGCATTTTCGTGATTGCACATGTAATCATTTAGGATTTTATGTGACACAAAATTATAAATAGCATTTATCTTGAATTTGATCGCAATTTATAAATCGTTTAAAGTGGAGCTTAAGTAAATTCCAACCTATATTATGTATAAGAAGGACAAAGATTATGAAAAATAACATATAAAATAAAAAATAAGAGAGCATAAAAATAATGACAAACATGTTTTATTGCTTTACAACAAAAAATATACTTTATATATTCTACGAGTACTCATGTAATTTGTAAGTTTCATTATAAGTTATATAAAAATGAACCAAATATATATAAACATAAACCAAATTAAAAATACAAATGGCTATATGATATATAGCTTCTCAAAATAAAAAATAATATTATTTAAAACTTATCCTAAATTGTAAGTTGCAAGTTCCTGTGGAGAGAATAAATAAAATCCTTTGGCATCAATATTAGGAAAAGATAATTTACGTACAATATTTATTTTTTCTTCAACGATAGCCATTTCCACAGAAGCAGGCAAAAAATTCTTGACAACTTGCTTTTCGACTTGCTTATTTACCTGAAAAATAATTTTTGAAAATTGCAATTTTACATTATTTTAATTTAAGTTATCATTACTTTGTTAATATTAAAATAAAGTACTTTCAATGTACTTATTTATTTAGATTAAAAATTGGAATTATCCTCGTAATTATATATTTATTAAATTTTAATTAATTGTGTGGTTTATTTATTTACGTTTATTTGTGTAATTTTAATAATTAAGTATATACCAGTAATGTTTACATATTACATAAATTAGATACATATTTGAATTACATTATATACTTACTTTGATTTGGTTTTTCAACCATGTCATTATTAAAGCATAAATACTATCGTGCTCCGTGTTCAAATTAATATCGGATCCACTATTGATATGTTGCGAGGAACTCGGCGAGTCTTCATCTTGAGATTTACTTGCTTGATAAATTTTTCCGAGGTTTTTCCTTTTTGACAGTTAGATTTTTTTAATTCGGGTGTGAAATACATTTTATCACAAGAGAGCTTGCTAGTAATAAAATTTTATATTTCACTGAGTAATATTTTATGTCCGGTTGGAATGCGGAACTCACTAGGACAGCAATAATATTTGTCGAAATAATTGTAGTAATTCTCGTCTTTTTTTATGAACTTGAACATTTCATTCCTGCCAAAAAGTTCCAACTCTTCAATATTTTCTGTTGATATATTCTGTATGGTGATGGGTGTGTCATATCCTTCAAATCGCAAGAAATTTTTTAAATATATGGGAATTTTCAGCCCCATTCCCGTCTCTATCATATGCCACATTGCGACATCCGCAGATGGCTCCTTCTCGGTCTGAACATCAATATTAACGTAGGTTTTTTTCCTCGATGTTTTTGTTTATAATCTCCTCGTCTCGCTTATTCTCTTCCATTATATACTGATAAAGAATCACTGATAAAGAATATTTGCACTGAACACTGAACTTTCGACACGCACGTCTTTGTATAGATTATGAGATGTGTCAGCGAGGTTGATTACAGATTATAGAGGGAACATAAACAATAGAACAACAGCAGATAGCGGGAATAGACCGGCGCGGCGCGGCGCTAACCGTCGCGCCGACGCGACGGTTATAACACATTACTACGGAAAGTGCTTGTGCCACACATGATTTCATCACAGATTTCATAATGATTACACATGATTCCAATGATTACACGAAAATTCAAAATGATTTTTGCTGACTACATATGATTTCATTATGATTTCTAATGATTCCGCATGATTTCATTTGACTTTATCAATTACATCTGATTGCAAACGATTACACGGGATTTTATAAGGATTTCATAAGGATTTCATAATGATTTCGGGGACACTGTCCCACGATTACATTAAGTGGTTACCCCCTCGTATCAAAAGCACATTAATAATATAAAAATTTTAATGCTATATATATGAACATCAAAAAATTGTGTTTATAAATTAACCTACATATCCACGACAAGTATTGATGGTCGGGATAATGATGCACTTGTGGAGGAAGTCACTAGCTTCCTCAGATTTTCTATGTTTTTTATGACACTGCCGTGAAACGTCGATAACACATGTATAATATCCTGAAAATCACTAGCACTGTCGGCAATTGTACGTCTTTTCCTTCTAAATTATTCTCTTTCCTAATTTTTAAAATATCCGTACATTTTGTAAAGTTTCTTATTTAAAAAGATTTATCTCATCGTATGTTTTATTGCAAAAAACGCAATAAATAATACTTCGGGCAGCCATAGCAACTATAACCTTCCAAATACACTGTAACGGCGCAAAGGTAATATATATATATATGTAATATGTATATGTATATATCATATGTTGATAGCTTTCGTTTGAACACTCTGCAGACTGGCTGACTGTGTTTATCTTCAATTTTATACAGTAGACTATTATTTAAAAAAAAGTTTACCTTTGCAGATATCGGTTATACCTGACAAATAGTCTTTGAAATAGTATTACGCAGTACGGTGCATATGCAACTCATCGCACTCGCCACGCTGCACTTTAAACTTAAAACAACGAACTGGCCAGTGATGATAATCTTTATTCTGCAGTTACGTTTCAACCCTCAACTTGAATTCTCTTCAGACTAAATACATAAAAATAATAAAATTAAAAATGGAAAGATTTTTTAATTGTACTTGTGGTTTACTTTCAGGTATTAATTATTTAAATTTGATCTTTGAGAATAACTGCCGTGTATCTCATATAATTTAAACGGTATTGTAACAACTATGTTTCATTATTTTTTTATTGATTGAAGTTATAAGCGTAACAATATTAATACTATTTTTTTTTTTTTTAATATTTCCTTTTTTAATTTTATTGTTTTTATGTATTTAATCTGAAGAAAACCCAAGTTGAGGGTTGAAACGTAACTGCGGAATAGAGATTATCATCACTGGCCAATTCGTCGTTATTCATTCTCATCTTATTATTATATTATGTTGCAGAAAACATATCAGTATCATTGCAGAAATATTACATAATATGGTTTGGGAGCGTTTAATCTCTGTAAGATATTTGTTGAATTGTGCTATATGATTCATGTAACATCAATTAAAATGTTTCATATACATCCAAAAAATATTACAATTGAGATGTTTCATATAGAACATAATTGAGATAAAAAATGTCTAGTCGTAATGATATTATTTAAATGTTTCTGCAATATACGCATTGAAATGTTTTTTAAACATTACATTTAAGTTCTTTAAATGTTTTAGAAATGTCGCAAATAGAACATCCTATATGTAACATAAAAGAGGTAGGACATGGTTACCGATATGTTTTATAGATGTTTCTGAAATATACTTGCAAACATCACACTGTTATAATGTGATGTTGCTGTAACGTTCCTTAAACGTAATTTTGTTTAGTGGGAATATACATTAAGACTATAACAAGGCTCTTCTACATTCAATATAAATACAATTGAGAAAGACCTTAAAAGCCAAAACGCGGATGTTAGTGTGTGTACTTCAACGAAAATTAAATTTTAATAATTTTTTGTTGAAATGAAATGATTGTGCACAGGCACGTATTTTTCTTAGCTACCAAGACTTATATAAAATGGATTAATCTCTAACTTGAGATTTTTAAATCCATAGATCCCCACTGCCCCTCTTAAAGAATTAAATAATTAAATGTGAGAGAAAAATATTAGATTCGGCGACTTTCGGATCTATATTTTTCTCTCGCATTTAATCATTTAATTCTTTAAGGGGGGCAGGGGGGATTAACATCAGCGGTTCGGCTCTTAAGGTCTTTCTCATTGTGATATAATAAAAGGCCAACTTAACGGGCTTATATGATATAATTAAAAATTTTTTTTTATTAATTTACCTCATAATATACAAAAGATAAGATAAACGTTTCGACTGTACGACAGTCTTTTTCAATATCCTGCTAATATGTCAAAGAATTTAGTTTAGTCATATCGACCTTATTATAAATACAACATTTATGAGATTATCATATGACGAACGCGTACAGTAAAAAATTCATGTTTGTTGGCTTGAGTTAGAGCGTCAGATTTATGTATGTCATGCTGTTATATTAGTAACGACACTGTGAACAAATTAATATATCCGCTCAAATATTAATTTTGGAGTTTTAATAAATAGTATTAACTTACTTTTGTGTCAACGAACATAACA